GCTTTTTCCATTGTAAGCCTAGTTTACTCTCCCACTCTGGACAATTTTCTTCAGTGAACTCCTTAATTATTGTTTCACCCTTGTTTGCCTTGTCCGCCACTTCTGATATTCATTCCTATTAGACTACGTGGTGAGGCTCTCTACATCTTTTTCTCCTCTACTCTCTTTTTAAATTAAGATTATTGGAACAATTTAGATATATGTAAGGGTCATATCATTATAGGCAATTAGTCCCTGTATATATCTTAACTCCTTTTATTTTTTTCATACCACATGGATATATATATGTACCCATCTTTATAGCAGCACTGCTCATAATATCTAAATCTTGGAAACAACCCTAATGCCCATCAACAGATGAATGGATAAAAAGATATAGTTTTTTCTTATACAATCGAGTACTATTGCTTTAAAAGAGGATAAACGTGAGACATTTCTAGGTAAATGGATACATCTTGAGACCATACTCTGAAGTGAAATAAATTGGTCACACATGTGTAAATATTGCATGGTTTCTCTGGTGTGAAAAACTAAAAGTTTTAATAAGGACCAAAGTGTATAATACGTATAAATGAAATAGGAAGAAATGGTTCAAAAGAAATGGGAGCTAGGGATGGGGAAAGGGTAAAGGAAGGAAGGTAAAGGAAAATCAAACAATAAAAGAAGGACACAGTGGAAACAAAGCTTTGTCAATAAGGAGGAGAAGAGGGGTTGAAGGGAGGGGAAGGTGTTAGGAAAAACATGTTTAAGCTTCATCTCAATGTATGATTTTCTCTTAGGTACCTAGGTGCTAGAGATGGTTTCACGGTGTGTAGGAGAGGTAGCATAATGAGACAAGCTCAGTGCAAGATCTCAGGCTCAGGTGGCAGGACTGGAATTAAGTTTTATCTGGATTCATGATGAAAAACAGTTCTTTACATTTCAGGTTCCTTTTTATCCCTATTACATCATATATCATCTTCAATCCAGTTCAACTAGTAGGAAGAGAATGTTTTAGATTGCTTGGAGAAATGATTCCAACATATTATTAGATATATTTTATGTTGCAAGGAATGGTCATGATACAACAACAAAAACCCAACTTTTAAAATCAGTATAAAGATAAAAACTACAAATCTATAGTGAGACCAAACTCTACGAGATTAATAAGAAGCCTCCCCTTCTATCTGTGTGCTGGGTTCTTATAAATCACAGAATTCACAAAAGGTAGAGAGAAATAGCTACTATGCACTCAAAGTCACTAACTTAGGGGCAAATGGCAAGTTTCTGGATTGTTACATTAACGAAACTTTTTTCCTACGATTATTACTTTTGTTGCTTCCTATAGAAATCAAATGTAGAGAGGAAAAATATCTGTTCCTTCTACTCCTCTAAGTTTATATGATGGGGGCCACTATAGAAAGACAGACTAGCCTAAGTAAAACATACAATTTTATTTCATGTATCCATTATGATATAGGGGAAAGAAACTCTCAACTTGCTAGATATCTGGGACAGGTTCGTGCTCTCTAAAATCAAAGAGTGAATTTTAGGAACAACCGAAGTTAAGAGCAGAGTGTATTTATTGAGGGCAAGAAATCTTCTGTCTGAGAGAGGCAGAAGGGGTCCCGAGTGGGTTGCCAAGGACCCTGCCTTTTCTAGGGATTTTTTAGAGCAAATCCATGAGGTGAGGTGGGTCTAAGGTGGGGGAAAATGAGAACTCGCAAGGTGGGCATGAGGTGGACAAAATTATGGTCAACCAATAAGATTACAGGCATAATTATTCAGGTAAAGTTGATTAAATCGGTATCAAATGGGAAAGCCAGTAGAAAAAACAGGCAAGAATACAGAGCAGGGGTTTTCCCTCTGGGGGGTTGAGTTAGTGAGTCTTCCTGGGTTTTTAAAAGATGATTGATACCTATTTAGGATATCAATCCCTGATGTCCATCCCTAGGGAGGTATGTGGGTACATTTGCTCAATCTTTTTTTTTCTTGAACTGGGAATTGAACTTAGGACTTTCCCAGGCACTATGCCATTGATCTACATCCCTGGCCATTTAATCTTTTGTCTTGAGCTCTGGCCCACAGCAGAAGTACCTGTCTGTCCCACAGTTGAAAGATATCTTGTTTTCCATACTGGCTCTTTAGAGGGCCCAGACCTATCTAACTGCCTATAATATTTCTATCTAACTCAACTGAGTACAACAATTACAGGTCAAGGGAAATTTCACAAAGAAATGAATGAAGAAGCAAAGAAAAGATTAAGCCTGTGTTACTTTTACATAATAAATTCAGTGAAAATTGGATAGTTTTGGAGAAACATGTAGGACAAAGAGTATGAGTGAAGTGAAATAAATCGGGGGAATTTAGTCAGGTCTGTTTGTTCATCTCTGTATCCCTGCGACTTTGGATGTAAAGATGCTCCTTCCCTATGGGTGTTGGAGGAAACTTGTACATGCAGATTTCATGATCTGCTTCAGAAGGTTAGAAAAGTTTTTCCTAGGACTTATGACCTGCTTCTTAATTGCTGAAATTTCAGGAAAATAGCAGCATAATATCAGATACATTTTATTTTTCACTTTAAAATTCCAATTCAAAAGTTCCAGTATGCCAAAATGTCATATTTTGTGACAGTATGCCCTGAACTTTATAGCAAGCATAATTTTATCATTTGAATTATAAAAATACATTTTCCAGATCCTATTAAGTTGCTGACATATTTCATTATAGAGAAAGAACAAACCCAGTGTATAAAAATTAATAGCGTTATTGTCATCTAGTACTAGCTTGAGGAATTGCAACAAAAACTATCAGAAACTCAGTAGTTAAACAAACAAGTCCTCCTGGAATTTTGAGATCTTTGTTTGACATCTAATTTGGAAATTTTGTACATTTAGGTATTTAAAAAATTTATAATTCTTGAAATCTTCTGGAGAGAGTGTGTCACTTAAAAATACATGAAAATTTAGGATCCATCTCCGAGAAATTTCAGCAATTAACAGTTACCAGAAAGGGGTATTTTAAAGTATATAGAAAGACATATTTCAGAAATCAGGAAGAAAATAAGAAGATAGTAACTTAAGGATCTTTGAATTTTTCTTTTATTCCTACACGATAGAGCCAGAAAAGCTGTATAAGTGAAGATCACCCGTGTCTGCCTAGGCTCGCTACTGGTAGGTGTCCTGCCATGCCCTTGATAAATAAATAGCAAGCAAAAAGCCATTACAACCAATAACTTTGCTCCAATGATTTATTAGTTATTTTATCTTCAAAACGCTGAGTGATACTGATTATTTGAAACATTTAAGGGACTTTTCTAGAAAAATAATTGTCTCATGAGAAAATAAAAGCTTACTTTATGTTTCTTGTTTAAGGTACTGGCTTGTTTTTATTAGGGCATTGAAATAGAAAAACTTGGATACTCTTTTTTAGCTAGTCATAGTTTTCTGGGAAGCCAATTGCACCAGATCCAATAGCTTAGCATGTTATATGAAACCGGTGTTTACAAAAAAGGAGTAAATACATTTATAAGGAGAAAGGGTTACTGCCATAATTCCTAGTATTTTTCCTATGTCTTTCTACACTAATGATGATGGACTCTGTCTATAGTTAGGTATGGAATATATTTTTGTGCTTCAAAGAGTTTTTCTTAGAAGGAGAAAGTATTAAAATCAAACAACTCTGCACTGTAATATTTGCCTCAATATTATCTCCTCCCCTAATTAAAAATAAAACTGAATAATGAGCTAATGTTGAAAGCAAAACTTAGGCTTGAAGAAAATTCATAGATTTAGTTATCCATATTCTTTGAGGGTTTCTAATCTCATTCAGTGACTTCACAGTCACTTTATTTTGTCATCCATGGTCACACCTTTGTCTTACATGTATTTTATTTTGCACATTTTGTTTAGGTTCTTTATATGACAAATTAAAATAGATGCTTCATAAATACTATCACTGTCGTACATACAGAGTGAAATAATATGTTAACAATGTTAATTAATTACTTTAACGTCTGCATATTACCCTCTCTCCCCCCCATTCAACAAACAGCTTACTGTCAATCTCTATGTTGAGAGGACGAATACGGCATGAAAATCATGTCTTTCATTCCATAACTTCAGGGGGTGTGAGCATTCCTCAATGTGAACATTTTCTGCCACTGTGGCCGTAAACAGAGGAGACAGAGGAGCTAACTAGTTCTCCTCTTTCACCTTACTGTCAAGCTGAGCAAAGAGAGCAAGGGGTGTTCTGTTGTCTCACACTCCCAGTAGAGAGGCAGCAAAATCAAAGAGAAGGAGAACAGATCTAGACAAGGATTTCTCAACCGGGTACCTATTCACATTTGGATGTGGAGACTGTACGTCGTAGGCTGTATAACAGTCCTGGCCTCTACGTAGTGTTGGTATCACCCATCTCCTCAACTTCAGCAACTAAAATATTTTAGTTTTGATAATTACATTGTACATAGTTTTAATATTTACTTTTTTACATTGTAAAAAAGTTACAAATTAGTAGCATTACTGTCACCTAGTACTAGCTTGAGGAATTGCAACAAAAACTGTCAGAAACTCAGTAGTTGAACAAACAAGTCCTCCTGGAATTTTGAGATCTTTGCTTGACATCTAATTTGGAAATTTTGTATATTTAGGTATTTTAAAAATTTATGATTCTTGAAAGCTTCTGGAGAGAGTGTCTCTCTTAAAAATACATGAAAATCCAGGATCCATCTCTGAGATATTTCAGCAATTAAGAGTTACCAAGACATTAACAAATATGCCTCTGGCAGGGAGGCAAAACGCCTCAGTTGTGAACCGCAAGTGATCACTTAGCACCAGGCAGAGCACACTTTGCAGAGCCACATAGCCTTCCTTTACCCGTGCTGCTGGGATTTTCAGCCTGGTTCAGGGTATCTCCAGAATTCGTAAAAACTTTTTTCTTTCTTGTCTTTTTGAGACAGGGTTTCACCATGCAGTTCAGGCTGGGCTTGAACTCATTTTGTAGCCCAAGCTGACCTCAGACTCACAGCAGTCCTCCTGCTTCAGCCTCCTGAATGCTGTGATTATAGGCATGCACATCCAAGCCCAGCTCTATCTCCAGAATTTAAATTTACAACTGCCCAGGTAAGGAAGCTGTTAAAGTAGGGGAGCTCTTAATATATACTCGAGATGTCATTATTTATCAAGGTGTATTTAACTTTCTTTTAAGACTGACTAACAAAGAATTGTTTCTTTATTGACTGAAGATGAATTACCATGGGTAATACTTAAAAAAGTGAAATAGTTTATATGCATCGCTGGATACACTTGGAAAAATTTCATACATAAATTTTACTTAAGAGTTTTTGAAAACACTACCTTGAAATTGATTGCCCTATCCATTATTTTACTTGACTTTGGTCATTTAACTTTAGCTCATCTATCACCACAGCATATTTAAGGTGGTTACAAATTTTAAAATATATTCTACAAAATACCTGCACAAACATAAAGCTAGAAACCTAGAAAAAATGGCAAAACAACTGTGCTCAAAACTCCAGTTTCGCATTGTCTATCTGAGTTTCAGTGCAACTGGGGGAAAATAAAATGAGGCTACTCACTGTCATCTCATAACTGAATCATCCTTTGATAGTGATCCCAGGAGGTGGATGGGAGAAATGGAGACTGCCTTACAAGACTTCTGAAACCTTCCCCATCACACTGTTTATATTCTGAAACCCGTAAGTTTAGCCATGTAATCTCATTTTTACTACTATTAAAATGAACAAGAATTGTCTGTTCTCTCATTTATAGTACATGTATAATCTTTTCATTTTCTGGGGAAAAGTTTTGTAGAAGGCACAGGTTTATTTTGTTCTATTTACAATTAAATTTTATGGGGATTTTATGAATAGGAATTATGTTCATGGAAAATGGTTCAAAAGTCATACTTAGGTTAAAAAAAGTGTTAGAAATATGTCAACTTTCCCTTTCAAACTACTCCTCATGAATAATCATTGTTCTCAGCTGCTTGAGTCTCTTTCTAGCAATATATGGTCTTATGCTTTAAATAAAATTCTAATGAATGAAAACTTTGTTAGATTTTAAAGTAATAATAAATTTTTATTCATAGATCAAACTTTGACTTTGACTCACATTCGGTTATCAAATGCCTACTGCTGGTAAACATTAATCCTGGGCGTACCTATAAGGGCATGTTATGAGTTATATCCTATGTTCAGAAGTTTTTGTCTCAGCATTAATTTCTGTGTTTTTAATTCCCTTTAGGTCTCTCCCAGTTACTTTTGTCGCTCATACGCGGGGTCCTTCCTGTGTGTACCAGTCCGGGTTCTCCACTGGCCCCATTAGCTTGCAGTCTGTGCACTGCAGTTGCTCCATGAGGGACCTAGACCTTTTCCTGTGTCGTTTGTGAATTAGGTCACAGCAGTTCTCCACTCTGCCTTGCTCATCAGGACCTTGGTTGCCTCCAGACACAGCCCTGGCAGCTCTGCTGGAGTGTCCCTTACAGGAGTGGGAGGATGCCCACTCTCCTTTACTTCTCACAGATTCTCTTTGCCAGTTACTCGATGTCTCTCCGGATTTAGTCACTTGGCAACAGCACTTGGGGATTTATTTTCAAATAAACTTTACTGAATAGTCCTATATATCTCAAGCACTGGGGTTCAGCACCCCCTGTGTGTTTGTCTTTCTTTCAGGAGGAGTGCTATCCAGAGGACAAGGGGACCCTCCACACACCAGCTCCTTGTAGCTCCATCTTACCAGACCATTGGATACTTCTATACTTCACTGACACTTGAAATAAACATAATTTATTCTCACAACTAAATTTCCTAAGTACTAATTAAGTGACCTCTCCCTAACCTATTTCTCAGCCTCTTTTTTTTCTCCCTTCTGTTTCCTTACCTAATAGGGTTTGAAATATTGGACCAAGAAGAAGACAGACCCCAGTAGCTTTGGCTTCCTCTCTTCACTTCACTTCCTACATTCACTTAAGTCTCCCTGCTTTGCTAGATGCTTACTTCTGCCAATATTTAGATTACTTGATCTAACTTTTCATTCCTTTTCTCAATAGCTCCGCATATTTTAACGTGATTGTTGTATGTACAGCCTCAGAATGTTTTCGCTGCTATATGGCAGTCTAACTTGACATTTTCTAAAATTATTTATTACGCATCAGTTTCAAAATCATATCATTTGGCTGGAACAATATCTGAGATAGTGTGTTGTAATAATTGCCTCTAACAAAAATGCATTCAGCCTACAAACTTGTATTTTAAAATGACCTCTATTAAGGTAACAGGAAAATATTTAGATTAGATTTTGTTAGCTTAATTTGTTTTGCATTTGAATGGCATTAAATCAATGTGTTTAATCCCCTTATATGGATCCTTTGAGCCTTCCCCTTTTCAAAGTTTATCCGTGAGTTTTATAGTCCCAGCAATGGAGAGTGGGTCTATAACAAAGAGACCATTATTCAGTTTTGTTTCAGGGCTATTGTTGAGCCATAAAATAACAATGACCTCTACAACCTATATACCAAATCAAAATTCAGTCCTATCAGACAAGGTCATGGAACTTGACTGTAGACCCAAATTACGCATGGTGCTGTGAAGGCGTACCAGAAAGCTCTGCCCTTCTGCCTGGAGAACAGTGGAGAGGAAGGCAGTGGAAAAGGTCACTCACATCCTGACTCCCCTTCTCTAAATTAATAGAGCAGAGGGAAAAACCAGGTTTGCTTTGATGATGGAAAAACTTAACACAAAGGAAGAATTTCTGCACCTTTGTGAGGATGCTTGGAAGAGACTGTACTGCAGAAAATCAGCTTCCTCCTTCTAACTTCAGGAAAAAGCAGCACAGTGCAAAATGAATTTTTTCTGCTTAGAAAGAGAGGAGGAGAGAATACCTTGGTCTAATTTGCTTTCTTTTTCCCAGTTTTGAAGGTTCTCAGGAATTTCTCCATGTTCTTCAGCAGAATATGCTTCTATTTAGCTATGTAGAAGCGGGAACGTAAGCTAGGTTTCTGGGCCCTGTTGAAATAACGTTGACTGAGAGTGGCAGGGAGGAGTGCTCTGCTGAGAATCTAAAGATATTAGACCTCAGAGGCTAACCCTGACAGTGCCAGCACTGGGCTGATTAGCAGGGATGACCCAGAGGAGAATGAAGAGGCCCAAAAGTGGAGACCCACACGCCATATTTTCATAAGCAGAAGCTGTAAATCCTGCTTTTAAAAGGAAAATTGTTCTAATCTCCTACCTTCACCATCACCAAGAGGATTACAATTGTATTTGTGGCTGTAGTACTCCTTGGAGTTCTCTGTCAGACCATGGTTCAGTGGGGGGACACCCCCGCTGCCTCTCCACTCCCTTCAGTGCCCGCCTTCCTGGCTCCTCTTCATTTCACCAGCCTCGTGCAGTGCTTACGGACACCACAGCAGCTGGCTTGTCCAAACTGCGTTCAGTCCTTCCCACCACCCTGCCTGGGCCATACCTCAGACTTAGGGTACGCGTCAGTTTTATATGTTGCACAAAAAAATACCATAGACTTAGTGACTTTAAACATCTACATTCATCATGTTATAGTTTGTTTAGGTTAGAAGTCAAAGCATGGTTTTCTGCATCCTCAGTATAGTTCTTACCAGGCTGTAATTAGAGGTTCAGCCCTAAAGAGTTCTCAGCTGAAGGCTTAATGGGGAAGGATCCATTGCCAACTTCCCACAAGATGGAAGACTTGGAAGATTTCACTTTCTTAAGTGTACTGCACATGTGAGGATCCATGGCTTCCTTCTTCATAGGCTAAAAGGAGAGGAAATACTCTCCATGGTTCAGGTAGTAAGACCAAATCTGGTGTAGTTCAGATGCTGCCACCTATTAGGAAGTTATGTACCAATGAGCCTATCTCAAATGAAAAATGCATTTGGTATTCCAATAAATCCATCACAATGTTGGAAAGATCATAAGTCATTAGGAGTAATAGATTGTAATATACAATCATGTGTGGCTTAATGATGAAGTACATTCTGAGAAAATGAGTTTTCAGGTGATTTTATCATTCTGTAAACATCGTAGTGTGTATTTACATGAACTAAGACAGCTACACCCTATCTGGGCAATATAATCTTGTGAGACCACAATGATGTATATGGTCAGTTGTTGACTGAACCATTATTTGTTGCCCATGAGGTGTAATATAATATGATATAATATAATATACAAAACAAGGGAGTACTTAATCATCACCTTTGTCACAAGAGTGACATTCTATTATGATTCTCAGATTTTACTGACTAAAAACAGTCACAGATTTTTTCTGCACTCAGGAGAGGACTGGAGATAACACCAGATGTGAAAAGCAGGAGACACTGACCTGTCCATACATACATGATATAGACCAGGAAGGATGACTTAGGTAAAGATGACTGTGAACAGCTCAGGAGTGCACACAGGCCCATTTGGAAAGAAATTGTGAAATACACGGTACCTGAGATATATTTTAGAGGGTAAGGTGAGTATCTGCACTTCAGGTTGTCCTGTTCCCAGCTTATGGAGCTCCTCACCTCAGGGGAAAAGGACAGCTAGAAAAAGACCATAGTGGAACCCTTTAACTGTAGGCAGGACCCAAGCCAGAAGCCTATATTTCCTCAGTCTGACAATGGTATTGTCCACAACTTTGAGTACCTCACACCTGGGCTGTATGCGATGTTAATGCCTCAGAACAGGATAAAAAGAGAAAGCCAAGGACTCATCATTGAAGTGAACAAAAATGACTTAGAACAAAAAGTAACATACACACACATACAAACAGACAGACAAACACATACACACACACACACACACACACACACAGAAAGACAGACATCTAGTTTAGGCATCATGCAACTAATTGGTCTTAGTACCACTGTTCTTGGAAGCTATTTATAGATTAAGTGTGTAGTTAAATTGATTTTTAATGCTTTCATAGAAAATAGAAGAATTTTCATTTGTACCTCATATATTTTATAATTTTAACGGGTATTACACAAGAAAGTAATGTAGGAATGCCTTTATTTTGGTGGCTGTACCATAAGATTCTCTACATATATTAACAAATAAAACCAAGCTGGACACATATTAGAAAAACTTTCAATACCAAAATTAAGAAGGGCTGGGGATGTAGTTCAGTGCAAAGATCCTGATTCAGTCTCCAGTACTGCCAAAGAATAAAAATGAATAAAAAAATAAAAATTTATAAAAATGAAATTTTTAGATAAATATGAAACATCTTACCTAAAGTGTCTCTTATTTTCAAGATAATTTCATTGACATTATAAAGGAAATTGTTGTTTGGAGAATATTATTAGAAACCTAAGTGGGAAGTCTGGAAGGCCCTGGTTATCACAAACTACCTGCAGTCAGTAATGGGCCCAGACAGCCTCCATGGCTAGAAGCTGACTGACCCCTGGTTTATGCAAACAGAAGTCCTTTCTACTTGGATGCTATTCTTAAGGAAATGTCATCTTTGACCAATATATTTATTCTTGGTTACGTAAGAAGCAGAAGGCAGGGAACTTAGAGGTCTTCCCTGCCCGCACACTCAGGAAAATCATGCTTTGAATACATGTATCTGGTCTTCCATCTTTTGCAAGAGAGTGATAAAATGCACAGAGAACATCTTGCAAAGGTTTAGCCAAGGCCAAAGTTTAGTGAGCTCCATGGGAAAACTGGAAATATTTACATTTTATGTA